AGAGCATTTTAAACTTGGTCACTTACTTACATTTACTCTGATCTAGTCTCTCCGTCTCTGTGATGCAGTGCACATACACATGAGTTTGCAGGTACATATGCCTAAAGGCTAGAAAAAGCCATCAAACTTCTTGCTCTATCAATTCCTACCTATTTTGAGGCAGGGTCTCTCACTGAACCTGGAGCTAGGCTGACAATCAGGAAGCCCCAGTGATCATTCTGCCTCTACCCCTCATGCTAAGGTTACAGGGGTATGCAGCCATGCCTGGCTTTTTAAACAGGCATTGGGATTTAAACTCAGGTCCTCATGCTTGAGCAGAAAGAATGCTTATCCACTGAGCATTTCCTAAGCCCTCTTCTGTGATCTTTAAATGTAGAAGTTAGCAAGTAGATAAAAGAACTTGGTATATAATAAAAGATGTTGCTTCAAACCAACAGAGAGAGGATGGATAATTTAACAGTTCTTGAATGACTAGATAGCTGGTAGAAGAGATGGGGAATTGGATTTTTATTTCCCAATAAATGTCAAATGCAAGAAAAATCAGAACATTAAAAGAGAAAAAGAGGTCTTTAAAAATATCCGAAATCACAAGAGAAGAAAAAATTTTAAGATAAAGCCAAGTTCTGTATAAGCCCAGAAGCCAGAATGTGAAGAAAGCATAACTAGAAAACAGTTTTTGAAGTTCTCCAGGGAATAAGAATGTAAAAGGGGGAGGATATTAAAAATCTGAGAAACTATCTGAGACACTCATAAAAAGCAGAGCTGTAATCTCCTACCTTTGACAACACAGGTAAAAAGTCTCCAGCCAATACAGCAACAGTTGCCATGGGAAGGAAAGCTATCATGCCAGAAACGATGCCTGCCCTCACTGTCAACAACCTGTGCTCACAGGAAGATATACCACAGGTAACCTGCCTGATATGTCAAATGAAACTAATAACATACTATGCGAGCAAAGCTGGGTACCAATATACTGGCAGCCATACTGGATAATGCCATCTGGAATATTTCTGAAAGACCCACCCACATTTGGCATTGCCCACCAAAACTCAAATGGCTTGTCCCTCTGGATTGGCAGTTCTACTTCTAGGAATGTATCTTACATAGACAAGTATGCAAAATGATAAAGCAAGCCTGCTGTCTCTGGACTACACAAACTACAGTGCCTATGAGTGAGCAGCAACAAATCATGGGTATGACGATTTACATTCAGTAAGGACTATTACACAAGTGATAAAAACAACCATGTTAACTCTGAATGCAGGCAACACTCTGCCAGTATTTATGTCTGTTTCTGACCAAGAATGAAATGTGACTAGCTGCTTTATGCTCCTGCTGCCACACCTTCCTGGCCATAACTGGTTGTACCTTCAAATCACAAATTAAAATAAATCCTCCTCCCTTAAAAAATGATCAAGAGTATCTGTTATGTTACTATGGGATTACTGCTAAAATATAGCAAGTGCACTTTTTAAAAATCCTAGTGCGGGAGTGTGTATGGCATCTATGTTACTTTTACTGGTGTGAAAACACCCAAAATAAAACAACCCGAAGCAGAGAGGCTTCACTTTGGCTTTGAGGAAACAGAGCCCATCATGGTGGGCATTGGCTGGTAGTAGGCAGCTTTTCGGTGGCTGGAGCAGGTGGCTCATATTTGCCACATCTTAGAGGAACAGGAAGCAGAGAAGCAAGTAGAAGCGGATCAAGGTTATAAACTACAGGGCCCACCCCACAATGACCCACTTCTTCTAGTCACACTCTACCCTCCAAAGCCGCTGTGCAGCAAGTGTGCAGACAGAGGAGGCTGTGGGCAATGGTCCATGTCTGAACCATAGCAGCACATTATCATTTGTGTTTATGAAACATGGACGACCTGTGTTTGAAGACTGCAAAGCTGAATCATTTTTTGTACCATTTTTTGATTTATGTTTTTACGTGTGTGTGTGTGTGTGTGTGTGTGTGTGTGTGTGTGTGTACACACTCACAAATGTCAGGGCACATGTGTGCCCATCAGAGAATAAGTTGTAGAAGTCAGGTCTCCTGCTACCACGAGACACCCAGTATCAGAGTGTAGTAGTCAGGTTTGGTTACAAGTACCCTTAGCTGCTGCCCATCTCACTTGCCCCTACTTCAATTTTTATTTATTTATTTATTTATTTATTTATTTATTGCTGAAAGCATAAATGATATAATTCGCTGTATATAGAGACAGCAGGGATAGGAAAAAAGAAGGGGCCAGAAGAACTATATGGAATCTATTATTCTTTAGACTTCTTTAGACCAAATTTTTTTTAATGCCAGACAAAATGGTCATTTACCATATGATCAGTTTGATGTGAAAATGTCTCTAAGTGCAGTCCCATACACGTAAACTGGTATAGCCAAAAGCTGAGTCAGGGGACATGGCTGGCAACTGCTAATGGGCATGGGGTTTCCTCTTGATGTGATGAAAATCTCCTGGGGTGGATAATGGTGACAGTTACACTAATCGGAGAATATACTGAAAACCACTGAGTTTTATACTTTACATGGGTGAACCATCGGCATATGAATTACCACCTAGACCAGATATTATAACCCAAGGTATCTATTACTCCTGGATCCTTTGGCCTAGGAGAGGTCTGATAGATGTGAATGTATGTTACACCTCGTCACTCTGGAAGCTTCCATATTAACTGCAAGCATTTCCAGGAGAAATGACTGCAAAGTTGCTCACATTGTTAAAAAGACAACCTCGCATGGGCAAACCTCAGTGTATTGCCCAAGGTCACAACTGTGCTCATCATGCTCTGTGCTACATAATGCAGTGCTGCTCCAAGCTCATCCCTGCCTAGCTGGAGGCTTGGAAACTTAACTGCCGTTGTCTTTTATATGTCTCCTTCCTGTGCAGAGGCACTTCTGGCAGCTGTCAGAGGCCCCTCTCCCATTACTGGCCTTCTTTCTTCCTCCTTCTATTTTGTTCAGGGAGCCGAAGTGGTTATTGGACAGCAGCCGAGAGCACAACAAATGTGCTCTTCTGAGAATCGGGGCCTACACTGCTCTGGATAGGCATTGGGGCTGCTCTGTGGACCACTCCTAAGTTTTTAAGTGTGATTCTAGGTCTGCAGCTGGGCTGCAGGTGGATGAAGATATCACAAAATGGGGAGAAGCTGCATGCACATGTGTGTGTGACTGTGTGTGTGTGTGTGTGTGTGTGTGTGTGAATGTGTGTGTGTGATTGTGTGACTGTGTGTGTGTGTGTGTGTGTGTGTGTGTGAATGTGTGTGTGTGACTGCATAGTGCTGGGGACAGAACTCATGGCAGTGGGCATGCCTGGCAATGTTCCACCACTGAGCCACACCCAAGGCCACTGCACTTTTGAGTCCTTCTGAAGCTTGACTTTGACTCTTGACCCTGGATTCAAATGGTTGACTCATGTTCATGGGTCTCTTTACTTTAGCTGGTGGGTAGATGTCTCTCTTAACTTTCCCTACCTTGGCAGTGAATCTCTACTCCACCAGGTTTTGTCTTTCCAGACAGCAGCTGGCAAGTTATGCAAGGTTAGGGGTCTTCAGCGTCTGTTTGCAGTAAGCAGTGTGCCAGATCAGCACCACCTTCTTATTCCTGATGAAACCTCAACACCATGTGCTCTAATGGCCCGCACATTCCTTGAAGCTCTCCATAGAGCTGGATCACTTTGCCACTCAGTGCTACTGTCTTAGGCCATCATTATGGATGGTACTGGTCAATTTGTCTGTAAGCTTGCTCGTTTGACAGTCATTCTACCACTCCTAAGTACTGGCAGGCTGTGCCCTGATGGCTATACACAACTGAGTCCAGGCATATTAGGCCCTCAGGGCGGGGTGGCTTTGGATGATCATGTCGCATTGTAACTGCTCCCTAACCAATGCAAACTGTGGAAATCTTTCTCCATAGAGGTTCTGGAGCCTGGGACTAATGTTTGCATTAATTTTCTTAGCTCAGGGAGTGCAGTACCCAAGGGAGATTGCATATTCACCTGCCTGTGGCATAGGCCTGTGGCTGGATTTCTCATGGGTGACTACTTTCTCCCTCATCCAAAGGCCCTGCTTATTGGCCAGGGTCTGGCTTTTAGCACCCTGCTTTATGGTTGCCACTGCATAGGTGGGAGAGACCAAGCTGCCAGTCCTTCCCCATCTCAGCCCCATCCCCTAGACAACCAGAGTATAGTTCTCAATACTATCTGTATGCAGGCAGGCTTTAGTGATCTCCTAGTCTTGTTGTTCCCCATACATATATTGCTTTTGGAAAACTAGGTTCTATTCTGGCTACTCCAGTCAAGTGTTTGTGTTTAAAAGGACTAACTCAGTCAATTATGTTAATCAAAACCATTTTTATACAGTGTGCATATGTGTGTTCATTTTATTTTCATGAATGATGTGAAATGCTGGGAGAGTGATGGGCTGCTGTGCTGAGGGCAAAACCTGAGACCTACTTAGTTGTTCTTTTGCAGAATTAAGTGTTACATAATTAAGAGCAGGCTTCCTGGGGGCAGGGATATAGACTCAATGGTACTGTACTTTTCTACCATCTATGAGGCATTGAGTACTATCCTCAGCAACACACACACACCACATTCACACCACGCACAGAGCATGCTTTTATGAGAAGTTCTTTGTGTGTCTTTGTGTGGTGTGCATACAAATGTGGAGGTCCCAGGTTAATGTCAGGAGTGTTCCTTGATTGTTCTTTTACCTTATTCACTGAGGCAGTGTCTCTCAATTAAACCCTGAGCTAGTCAGATAGCTCTGGGGATTGCCCCGTCCCTTCCAAGGCTGAAATCACAGGCAGACCGTTAAGCACACCCAGCATTTACATAAGTTCTGTAGACTCAACTCCAGCCCTCATGCTTGCAGGGCAATAGATTTAACCACTGAGCAATCTTCCCAGTGCACAAAACATGCTTTCTCACTTAAGAAATAGAGAAATACAGAAAGCAGTAAGTAAAGAGAGAAATCTGCATGGTGTTGCTTGCATAGTACCTTTTGGCTCCTCCAGCATCAGGGGAAACAATGATACAGTTTCTCCATTCAGTGATGTTCTCACGAATCCACTGAAGAACTGCAGGCTCTGCATATAAATTATCCACAGGGATATCAAAGAATCCCTAAGGAGAGAAATCAAAGTCACTTTGCAGGTTTGTTTTCTGATTAAATCTGAGATTTATTAGAGTACATGATTGGAAGGGTCAGTGAAAACCTTCAGGAGTAAAGGGCCCATGACATGTCTGAGGGACCACAACTGGAGATGTATTTGGCTCACATTCATTGGGAAAAAGCTGCATCTCAGCTACTGTGCCTTCCAATTCATCTGCATTAAATTTGTTGAAGTCTCAATTGTTTGAGATGTGGATTTTCCAGCAGCCAGGGAACTTTAACGTGACCTTGTGCAGGGTCTCAGTCACATGTTCCTTTTCCTTCTGGTTGGCACAGATCAAAATGATGGCCTGGCCACTGTGTCCTGGAGCTTCTCAAAGGTGATCCATATACCTGTGTGAAGCCTAGACTAGAGGCAGCATACGATAAGAGACATGACTATCTACCAATAAATTCTGTTTCTAAGGTCGTTCAGAGAAACCCATAGAAGCAGCCAGCCTCCTGAGTAAGATGCTGTTTGCAGCCACTGTACACCAGGCCCCATGAAAAAAGAAACTTAGCTTAACTTGATGCAGGTTTTAAGAAGATAATTACTATTTTTAAATAATACTTAAATTATTTATCTATAAGATAACTTTCTATAACAGGCTCCCTTTGGCTAATTGTAACAGAATTAAATCTAATGATAGAGATGTCAGAGATATCATTTGGTCCAATCCATTTTCTGGGCATGCTCTGATATTTATATGGTGGCCAGTGTACCAGGGAAAGAGCAACACTGCAGAGCAGAGAGGAAAACAGGTGGCTTTTGTTGTTGTCCTAGCACTTACCACAAATCAAATCCTTCACATTCATTATATATCATAAGTAGAGGCTGTGAAATGTGGCATGTTTTGGCGACGAAGAAAGAAAGTTATGAAGAAAATAAAAATGTGTTTGCAGGACTGGGGAGATGGCTCAGTGCGTGAATGTGTAAAGTACACTTACAAGCAGGATGTCTTGAACAGGAATCCCCAGAAGCCATGGAAAAGCTGGGTATGATAGCGCACATTCTGCAACCCAGTGCTGGGGAAGCAGAGGCAGGAAGATCCCTGGAGCTCATTGGTCAGCCAACCAAGCTGATTTGATGAGCTCTGGGTTCAGTGAGAGATCCTGTCCTAAAAAAACTAAGATGGAGACATCCAGCGTTGCCCAATGGCCTTCCCATGTATGTGCATACATGTGGACACAAACATACACAATGCATACTATAATGATACCATTTTAACTATTTTACAGAAATTTAGATGGAATCACAAAGCATGTAAAAAAGCATTCCTGCTCCCATGAAATGAACTGGAGGCAAGATGTGATAGGGATGGCGGCATCAACAGGAAAGACAAATAACCCAGAGAAGAGCTGTGCAGACTCAGACCTTTCAAAATTAGTTACAGAGAGTTAGGACCTAACCATTGGCAGAAAGACAATGGTGGTACCTGGATCTGAGAGGCATGCAGGTCCATGGTGATGATGTGATCGGCCCCAGCAACTGACAGCATGTTGGCCACAAGTTTAGCGGAGATTGGAGCACGACTCTTAAAAAATAGAAACAAGGATTCAATATCAGAGAAAGATGGAAACTGTTAGATTCCTCTCACAAAGAGTATACACGGGGAAATGAAACCATGGATGGAATCAATAAGGAAAATTACAAGTTGTGACACAAAAGATATATCCAACACATTGCATTTGGTTAGTGAATATATACTATTGTTTGTTACTAAGTCTGGATCTCATATAGCTCAAGTTGGTCTTGAGCTCACTTATGTAGCCAAGGATGACCTTGAACTTTTTGATACTCTTGCCTCCACCTCCTGAATGTTAAGATGACAGGCATGTGCCACCAAGCTCAATTTCTGTGATAGCAGGGCTAGAACCCAGAGCTTCCTGTATCTCAGGCAAGCCCTCTACCAACTAAACTATTACCTCCAGCCTACTGTGAAGCCATGCTACCTGACACTACAGTAGAACACAAATATTAAAGGAATAAAGTCAAACTGTATGCATGTGACATCACAATTTCTGTAAATCAAATAGTAAGAAAGCACGAAGACGTCCAACAAGATGGTATAAGAGACCACTTTTAAGGCAAGGCTAGCCAATGCTAGCAGAAGAGTGTTCTAGAAGGAAACAATGAAATATATGAAGTCTCCCGGGCCAAAACAACATCAAACAGCTCATCCAGGCATCAAAGAAGTCCAGCTATGAAAGAAGTGCCATGCCCTGACAGATGAAAGCTAGCCCTGCTACAAATTCAACAGCAACAGTAACAAACAAAAATAAAATGAAGAACAAACTGGGAATTGAACATTCAGAGAAACAAATACATTGTCATTACACCTTTTCTAAAGTTACCTAACTTCTTTATAGCTTTATTTTCCACATCATAAATCACGGGCAATGAAAAAGTCCACATCAAAGCAACCAAAAAGACTACACAGATATCATTAGACATAGTCCAGACATGATGTAGGCAGAGATCAGTTACTAACAGCATTGCATGCTTATACACAAGCCACAAAAAAGAAAATACAATCATAAAATTGTATGAAGCTGGAGAAATGGCTCAGTGGTTATGAGCACCAATGGCTCTTTTGGAGGACCTGGGTTCAATTTCCAGCACCCACATAACAGCTAACAGCTGTCTTTGACTCCAAGATCTGACACCCTCACACAGACATACAGGTAAATAAGAAAAAAATAAGTTATTTGAAAAAAAGTTGTATGGAAATGTTAATGTTATATTTATTTCCTTTAAAACACCACCCTGTTGTTTACAAAAATACATCTTACCTTGCTGTATGTATACATACATACATACATACATATATAAAGTGTATCCATTCATAAATATAATCAATAAAGAGTATATAAACAATGTAATTAATATGTAAACATATTCCTTAATATATTAATTTTACATTAATTACGCACACATAAAAAATCAGAGAAAACACCCCTAAAATTACCAGAGTTTTGAGAAAATGAAACTATGGGGAAGTATTTCTTGTTTTTTGTTTTTTGAGATCGTATCTCTATATGGAGCCCTCGTTGTAATGGAGGTTGCTGTGTAGAACAGCTGGCTTTGAAGTTCACAAAGATTCACCTGGTGCTGTCTCTATTGTGCTGAGGTTAAAGGAGAAGTGCTTTTCTTGTGAGTTTTTTTTTTTAATTTTAGATGTGTGGGTATTTTGCCTGGCTGTATGTCTGCATGCCATGTGCATACAGTGCTCTCAGAGGCCAGAAGAGGATGTCAGATCCCCTGGAAATAAAGTTTCAGATGACTGTGAACCACCTTGTGTGCTAGGAACTGAACTACCCAGGTCCTCTGCAACAGCAACCTGTACTCTTTATCATTGAGCCATCTCTCCAGCCTTTCTTTTTCTTATTTTAAAAAGGTGGGTGTTTTGTTTTGATTTGGTTTTCTCCATACTAACTTTATATCATAACTTACATTTTCATTTTTCAACTCTCCTGTATGGTATTCTGTTTTGCTTTAATATCCTGAGAACCCTGGTCTATCTGGCTGTAGCCAATTCAAACTGTTGTCCCTTGCCTCTGATTCTGTGTCCTTCCCTACCAAGTAGACTGGGTCTGTTCTCTCTCAAGAGAATTCCATGGCCTTGTCTCACATGCTCAACTCATCTCTATACCTATGTGGTTGATCCTTCAAGGTCAGGCTCAAATACTGCAATTTTTTGTTTCTTTGAGAATTCCAGAAATAATCTCTCTCTTCTCAGGTGACACTTGGTTGACTAAGAACCTGTGACTATTTAGCCCAGGGACCTAGGGTAAAACCAAATAATACTGGCCAAAAAAAGAAAAATATACTTGTAATGATATTCTGCTAAACTCAGATCAGTGCCCTGTTCAGCCATCATCAGGGAAGCTTCTTCCTGCTGCAGATGGGAACAAATACAGAGACCCACAGCCGGACATAATGCAGAGAGGGAGAAACCTTGCAATGCTCAGCCCTAAATGGAATGTCTTCATCAAATCTTTCCCTCAGGCTCTGGGAACCCTATGGAAGAAGAGGCAGAGCGAGAGTAAAGAGCTAGAGGGGACACCAAGAAAACAAGGCCCTCTAAATCAACATGACTAAAGTTCATATAAACTCACAGAGACTTAAGCAGCAAGCATAGGGCCAACACAGGTCTGTACCAGATCCTCAGAGTCTATAGTATGGCTTTCAAGGGAACTTTTAAAAGAAAACATTTAATTGGCAGATTGTTAACAATTTTAGAGGTATATCCATGACCATCATGGTAAAGGGCATTGCAGAAGGTGGGAGGTGTGGCACTGCAGCAATGCTGAAAGCATACCTCACTCACAACCAGGAAGTATAAAGAGACACTGGGTCTGGCCTGACCGGGGCTCTTAAAACCTCAAAGACCACACCCAGTGACACACCTCCTCCAACAAGGCCCTATTTCCTGATTCTTCCCAAATAGTTCCACCAACTGCAGAACAAGCATTCAAACACAAGAACCTACAGGGGACATTCTCATTTAAACCATTCCAAGTCTATAGAGAGAAAAATCAGTGTGACATTTAAAGAGCAGGTGCAGCACTTACCTTGCAAGTATGAGAATATGAGCTCAAGCCCAGAGTCCACATCAAAATGCTGTGGTGTGGTAACGAGTGCTTGTAATCCCTGTGCTGGGTAGAGTAGGTGGGGACTAACATATACCCTGGAGCTCACCAGAAGAATGGTATTTGAGCTCATGCTCTTACTCATGCACACGGAAGTGTACAGGACTTGCATGCACACACACACACACACACACACACACACACACACACACACACACACACACACAGAGAGAGAGAGAGAGAGAGAGAGAGAGAGAGAGAGAGAGAGATTACAAGACTACAGGGACTTGTGTCGATTGCTTTATCTTTGAAATATGAACCTGACCTTACAAATGATTCTGAAAGAAGAAGAAAAAAATCCAAGTTGACAGCCCTTCACTCTCTTAGAAGTAATTATCCCCTGACTGGCTCACAACCCACTGTTCTCTCCAGGGAAGAGAACTAGCAATTAGCAATTAAAGGAGCCAGCAAACGTTGGCTCATGGGCTAGACTTGCCTGATACCTGGTTTGGGCCTAGGGGTGGTCTCCTCACTTGGAAAACAGACAAAAATAAGGTTTTGTAACATTTGAAGGTGACATAAAATCCATACTTCAGTGGGCATAAATAAAGTACCCTTGGAACACAGTCACACTCATTTATTTGAATATTGGTGATGGCAATTTCTACACTAAAATGGTAGAAGTTGAGCTGTCTCAATAACCATCCAATGGGCTAGCTACAAAGCCCCAAATATTAACACATTTCTTTTCGGAAAACTTGTCCATTAGTGTATACTAGGCCAGAAACTTCATCCATAGAGGCTAAGATGGTCCTCAGAATATAGGTGAGGACACTGAAGGTACAGAGTTTAAGTAACTTTTACAAAGGGCAAACGGGGTGAATAATGGTATTGGAATTCAAAGCTGAGCCTATTTCATTGCAAAGCTTACATCAAGCCTTTGACAATTACTGTGACATAATCATCACTTTCCTGTGTGAATATTCCATTGTGTTAAGTGGTCATTTATGAAACAGTTTCTTTCCTGTGAGAAGCTGCCCTTGGGTTCTGGTACTTACAAATCAAAGCTAAATAAAGTACTCCACAGATAGAGGGTAAAGGGTAAAAACACACACAGAACAAGTTTGGAAGATGGTTTAAAGTCCCAAGAGTTTTCTGGGCTTTTTCAGCAGGTACTTCTTGGTAGAGGCAATTACACAGAATTTCTCTGTGCCATTAGATGTTATGGGCAATACAGTCCCAAAGGAAGAGAAAAGAACAATAGGCAGCCTGGGAGGGCTGCCCAGAGCTCCTCCTGTAGCCAACAAGAACACTCTGTCTAGGTCCAGAGATTAAGTGTGGCACATGGCTTTCTATGACATTCAGACACCACCTGGCTTTCTACCTCCTTAAGTGAAGAAAAAAATAGAAGTACCTTCCTCCATCTCAAATCATGGTTGGTGCCCTTACAGTCCCAGCCACTGGAAAATGGTAGCACTTGGCTAAGAAATGAAGTACACTACCAGGCTCTGGTCATTTCTTATTTCTCCCACTGAGTCCTCATTGCCCTCACCCAGCAAGCAGTTTCCCAGCACCAAGCTAAGCTGAGTTCCCCGAGGGAAGAAGTCAATTGTTAGAATTTTCTAGAATGCAAATGGGACACCTTGAATGACAGGTTAACAGATTAACAGATTCTGGATGAGAGAACTAAATTGTTCCCTCACTATAGTTTGAGTCACACTGACTACACAGATCCATCAGAAGTCATGGTTGGCGGGTGGCGTCAGGTAGCTCACAGGTGAAGGTGCTTGCTATGCAAGCCTGAGCTGGACCCACATAAAGGTAGAAGGAGAAAACTGACTCCACAAAGGTACCCTCTAACCTACACACACATATACACAGAGAGAGAGAGAGAGAGAGAGAGAGAGAGAGAGAGAAAGAGAGAGAGAGAAAGATTAAAATAAAGGAAGTCACCAGGTACAGGTGGCATATTACCTTTCATCCCAGCACTCATGAGGCAGAGGCAGGAGGATCTCCGTGAGTTCAAGGCCAGCCTGGTCTACACAGTGAGTTCCAGTACAGCCAGTGCTACAAAGAGAAAACCAATCTTGAAAAACCAAAAAAGGACCCCTCCTCCCAAAAGCACAAAATTAAAAAAAAATAAATAAAAGAAAGGAAGTCACGGCTCCAGAACAATGCATGGGTCTTGGCCTCCTTAAAGGCAGTTCAGGCTACATACCTATACAATAGTAGCCATGTATCAGACTTGCTAATAACAGTGTGAGGAGTGGATACTGTTTCCTGGCACAGTCAGCCTTAGGCTTTCTTTTAATCTCTGGAGCAGTGGTTCTCAACCTATGGGTTGTGGCCCCTTGGGGGCTCAAATGACCCTTTCATAGGGGTCACTAAGACCATCCTGCATATCAGATATTTATAATATGATTCATAACTATAGCAAAATTACAGTTATGAAGCAGCCACAAAAATAATTTATGGTTAAAGTCACCACAACATAAGGGTCACAGTATTAGGAAGGTTGAGAACCACTGCTCTAGAATGTCCTGTTGGAAGTGATCAATGATATTCCTATCTACACTATGTCAAAGCTTAACCAAGCCAGCAAAATGTTCACCCCATCCATCAATGACTTCATTTAATATCCATTGGTGTAACTAGGAATGCTGGTGCCTGATTTGGGACTGTTGAACTTCAGAGTTATCAGAGAATACACTGCTGCTTTTTTTTTAACCATTTTTTTCTTTGAATTAGAAACAAGATTGTTTTACATGTCAATCCCAGTTCCCTCTACTTCCCCTCCTCCCCTGCCCCCCACTAACACCCTACCTATCATATACCCGTTCAGCTTCCCAGGGAGGGTGAGGCCATCCATAGGGGGTCATCAGAGTCTGTGATATCCTTTGGGATAGGGCCTAGGCCCTCCCCCATGTGTCTAGGCTCAGGAAGTATCCCTCTATGTGGAATGGGCTCCCAAAGTCCATTCCTATGCTAGGGATAAGTACTGACCTACTACAAGAGGCCCCATGGATTTCCGAGGTCTCCTCACTGACACCCACGTTAATAGGGTCTGGATCAGTCCCATGCTGGTTTCCCAGCTATCAGTCTGGGGACCAAGAGTTCCCCCTTGTTCAGGTCAGCTTACACTGCTGCTTTTTAAAGCTATTCCCATTTGTAGTCATTTATTGCAGGGGTGCTAAGAAATAAAACACTGCTATGGTTGCTTCTCTTCTCTAACAGTAAGGGTCAGTTTCCTGACCTGTACTCGTTGTCCTGCAAACTTCATCATATCCTCCCCTATTGATGATGGTCTTGTTAGCAGCTAAGTTTGGAAAAGCATGGGATACATGTTCAAAATGGCCCCATATGGAAAAATGTATCTAAATGTCTAACAACAGGGGAACTGATAGATAGCGGGTCACAACTGAAGCTCTGAAAAACAAAGCCACTTGGGGTGAGAGAAGGTGGGATAAGTTGATTTAGTTGGTAAATGTGCTTGTCAGCAAATCTGATGACATGTGTTCACTCAATCCCTGGGACTCATATGTTGGAGGAGACAAATAATGCCCACAAGTTGTCTTGACCTTCACATGTGCACCCAAATACCCAAACACACCCAAACTCATCCCCACACTAAATGTAAAAAACTGCAACAAACAAAGTCATTGGTGTTGTAAGAAACACTTAGAGCTCTTATTGCTGGCACAGTGGATGGTGGCAGTGCTGGCTGTCAGGGGACAGAGGCCAAAGGACCAACATATTTCTTGAAATGCAAGGGGAAAGTGGCAGGCAGGGCTAATTTATCATAAATTAGGAATAAAAGCAAGAAGAGACATTAGCAAATGCCACTTGAGAAAATGTTACCATGTATCAGTTATATCAACAACAACCACCAAATGTGTCTCAATATTTGTATCTCTGAAAGAAGAATCTGGAGTTCCAACAAATGCCTCCCACCCCAAATAGACAGGACCCTTGTAAGGAAAAAAATTACTGAAGAAGATACAATGCAACATTATCTCCTAAGCCAAACACAAAATATAAAACCTATATGAAATGAACTTAATTTAAATTAATCATACTGACAAACACCTTGGCAGTTAGTTTCATTTCTGTTGCTGTTGTAAAACACGCTGAAAAAGACAACTTAAAGGAGAAAGGGTTTAATTGCTTCCTAATTCTAGGATACTGTCCACCATTCTGGGAAACTCGAGGGGGAACTGACTTCAAAGAGCTACTCACATTTACAGTCAGGAACAGAGAGAATGAATGTATGAATTATTACATTCAGCTCATTTTTCTTTCATTCAACCCAGAACCTAAGCCAAAGGCATGGTGCTGCCTCTTCCACACTGGGTCTTGTGACATGATTTAATGTAACCAAAGACATGCCCACAGAGGAACCTGACCTAGATGATCCCTCATTAGGATTTTCTTCTCAGGTGATTCTAGGTTGTGTTAAGTGGACAAATAAAATAAACCGTCTCAGTGAGCAACTTCCTACAAGAGTGGGTTTTTATAAAAAGAATAAAGCTGCTCCATTCCCATTCTTTTATCCTTGCTCGCACATATCTCTTCTCCATATTGCTAGTTCCTTTCTCTGCCATATTGTGAACACCTGCTGGGATGCCAGAGTCGAGCTATTTGGATTTTCCAGCCTCACTAAATAAACCCTTTATTTTATAAGTCACTCAGCACAGATCTTTACTTAAACTAACATAAAACTGACTATAAAACTAAGCAGTACTCTAATGCAAAGTGCGGCTTGTAGACCAAAACTAACTTGCTACATGCTTGGGTCCTGTTTATAAGCTATTAAGTTTCTTTTGCATTTTTAAATGATTGGGGGAGAAATGAAAATAATGTTTCAGGGCATATAAAATAGAAAGTGACACGTGTCTATAAATAAATCTGAATTCTGATTTATTTTACAGTTTCACACATGCGTGCTTTACAGACTGATCAGTCTCACCTAGAAGCTACCCCACCATCTCTGTCTACCCTCCTCCTCCCTATATCTGTCATTTATATATTGTCCTCTAGCTCTGCTTTTGAGGGACACAGTTGAGTAGCTGTAAGAAAAACCAGTCATTTATAGAAAACCTTGGCTAACTCTTTCTACCCATATATGGTAAATCACGTCTTAAGTGTTGAATGGAATTCTTCATATCACATTTTAGTGAAATACTGAGTGACTAGCTATGTTCAGCACAGACTCTGGAAATCATTCCTGAAGATGTTGTTATTAAAATTCAAGGAGTACAAGGATTCATGCTTATACAGGTTATCATTTTATTTTGTTTTTTTTTAAATCCATGGGAATCTTGTGTGCTTTTCTGAAAGTCATCCCTACCATGAAGTGAATGATATTGTCTCTCCAAATTCATACTGGCCTACAAGTTTGGAATGGGATCTCTCTGTAGAAAGGTCTTTGCAGATGCTATTAATGTAAAGATATGGAGATAAGGTCATTTTGGATAAGAGTGGCCCCAAATGCAATTATAGTGTCCTTATAAAGGATAGAAGTAGAGACTGGAGGAGAAGCCATGGCATAGAAGACAGAGGCAGAAAGTATGTAGCCACAATGAAGGAATGCCAGGAGCTGGTCAAAGTGGGGAAGATTCTACCCTAGGGTCTTAGAGGAAGCTGGATGAAATTGTGGTGGATTGAAGACCTCTAAAAAGATATGTCCTTGTCCTGACCTCCAGAACCTGTTAATGCCACTTGGATGTAGCATTCTTGCAGATATAATTAGAAAAGGAACATAAGATGATATCATCCTGGATGAGGATGGCCTTGAATTCAGTGACAGTGTCACACATAGAGAGAAGTGTCTTGAAGACAAAGAAAGAGACTGAAGCCAAGAGAAGCCTGAATGTCTGGGAGTTGGAGGAGGCCCTGGAACAAGCATGGCATTGACACACCTTGACCTCAGACATCTGGTCTGTGAACTTCTAAAGAATAATTTCCTGCTCTGTAAATCTGCCCAGTTCATGGCAATTTGTGATAGTACCCCAACCAACCAAGATAGGCTCCTTCAATATTTGCTTCAATTTCAACTTTTCTGATGTGTCATAAAGGGTAAGAACAACTGTTTTTTTCTTCAGCTTCTCCTGGAAACTTATGGCTCCTCCGCTAATGGGAATTTTGCTAAAATAATAAGCAATATTAATGCTGTCCTCTTTACAAGGTTAAAAAGAGAGAGAAGATTGATTTTAATTAATTTGGGGGGCACTGTGGATTCACATGCAGTTGGAAGTAACAATGCAGACACGCTATGGCCCCTTGTCTTACAACAGAAACCACTTGCAAGAACACAATATTGAAACTGGAGTCCTCACCTTGATGAAAAGCTGTGAGATAATTTGGATGGTCTTCAGTTCACCTGTATTCATTGAGGTGTGTGTGTGTGTGTGTGTGTGTGTGTGTGTGTGTGTGTGTGTGTGTATGTAAATGTGTATATTTAGCTCTATCCATCACCTTACAAAACTCCATCACGAGAAGGATAATGGTATTTGAATACCTTTGAATACATACATTGCCTGTGTTGATACATGTGGTGGGGTCAATGACAGATCTGAAATAGACAAGGTGAGGGCACATATTTACATGATTATTGAACAGGAAAGCCAATAATTCTGGGTAGCCTAATGAAGGCAGTATGTAAGGAAACTGTGGTGAGCACAGCAGGATTCTAGGGCAAGACACACCTCGCCTACCTTGTCCTTTTTATCTTGCCGGGCATACGGGAAACAGGGTATCACAGCAGTTACCCTGGATGAGGATGCGATCTTGCATGCGTTGATCATGATGAGTAGCTCCATCAGGTTGTCATTAATTTCCCCGCAGCCACTCTGGATGATATAGACATCTTCCCCTCTCACACTTTCACCAATCTCAACACTACAAAAGAACAATGCCATATTAGCTTTCTTTGCTTGCTGTTGTTCAGAAACACTCTGGAAAAGTGATTTAAGGAGGGGGTGCTTATTTTGGCTCACAGTTCAAGGTATATCCCATTCTGCTGGGAAGTTAAAATGGAGGGACCTCTAAGCAGCTGTTCACACTGTACTTTCAATCAGAAAGCAGAAAGTACAAATTTATGCTGCTTTTCTGCTTCTTTCCCACTTCCAGAGTCTGGGGACCAGCCTGGGGGATGGTGCTATGCACAGTGGGTGAGCATTTCTGCCTCAGTTAACACAATTAAGACAATTTCCCACAAGCTGGCTCACAGACCCATCTCCCAGGTGATCTTGGATTCTGTCAAGTTGACAACTAACAATCAGCTATCACAGCACTGGTTAATATCAAGGTCTTAAAGACTTTCTGAGACTATCTCCAACTTCAGCAATCGAGCAGGTCCAATCCTGGGACTCAGCACATAGTCACAATCCTAACTGTTACATATGATATGGCATGAACACAGAACAAAATCAGCAAAGGGAAAAGTACACAAGGGAATCCAGGTGTGAACTTCCAGGCATTCTCCCCCAGGGGAGTCACAGTAGTCCAGTTCAAAGTGTCCAGTGGGAAGAGCTACCTACTAGGGTAGATGTAGAGACTTAGGGCATAGAATTTTTATTGGAAGCTGGTCAATGTAGTCACCCACTGCCTAGTGCATACCAAAATGCTAGCTTTGCACCAGGTGGGCGGGAGCTCAGTGTAAGCCACATTGTTTCCTGGCTGTTAATAGTTCACACAAAACAAGCCAATTCTTACCAAAGAATGGTGTGGGAATCCCTGTTAGAGCTAAGTTTCCATAGGCCAGAAAAGAGCTTACCTTGCAAGGAACCTTTCTAAGTTTCAGGCCTTCTCTGATAATTCCTTGTGGTGATTTTTCTATTATTATTAAGCATGGATATTGTCTTAAAAATTCAAATCACAGGGAGATGGTCAGTTGGTAATGTGCACAAGCATAGAGGACCCGAGTTTGGCATTCCAGAACCAACATTTTAAAAAAAGCCAAGTACAGTGGCACACACATGGATAACCCCAGATCTGGGAGAGCAAATACAGTAGATCCTTGGAATTCATTGGCCGGCCAGCCATCCAGCCGAATAAATGAGCTCCAGGTTCAGTGAGAGTCCTATCTCACAAAGTAGAGAAAGACATCTGATACTCTGGAGGCATGTATACAAAACACACACACACACACACACACACACACACACACACACACACACACACACACAGAGAGAGAGAGAGACACAATCAAATCATGATCAAAATATGGTAGTTCCACCTATAATCCCAGTTCTTGGGAGGCTGAATGAAGAGGATTCCTGAATTCCAGGCCAGCCTGGACTACAGAGAAATAGTGCCTCTCTCTCTCTCTCTCTCTCTCTCTCTCTCTCTCTCTCTCTCTCTCTCTCTCTCTCCATTTTTGTTTGTTGTCTTTCCTGTACAATCAACTTAGTGTCGCTTATAACAGTTAAACAGCCAGGAGACAACCAGTTTCAATATTAGATGTCTTTTTAGAGAGAGATTTATTTTCAAGTCTCCAGCTACCATTCAAGATTTGAGTCTTGATTTTTCATTAGGCACCAGGTATTGACTTCTTAGTATAGAAGATGAGGATTTAACATCTCTTCCTCTCTTCTCCATCACACAGATGAATGCTTCCCACCTCACCATCATGTCAATACAGAACAGTATTCAAGCTAAAGATTGACTGCTACATTTGAACTCTGTCCATGATGATCAGAGCTGAGTTGTGAAGTAAAATAAAACCAATGTTCACGTTCATATTTTTCTTTCATGCACAAGTTTCAAGTTTCAGTGTGTGTGTGTGTGTGTGTGTGTGTGTGTGTGTGTGTGTTTGTGTGTTTTACCTTAGGCTTTCTCTGGTGAATTTTCTATTTACTATATATTCACTTCCCACTTCCCACACCCCAGTAACAATTTCAATCTCCCAGTGTCAGTCTTCAAGTCCATCTCCACTTTTCCATTCTGAAAATATCCTACTCACAGCTGGATGACATGAATGGCCCAGCTGCCATAGGGATTCTTGACACCTCTTTGCAGCTCTCCATTGGTCATTTTCTGTATCTGTTTATGGCATACTTCCTTGTTTTGCTAGTTGTCATCCTGTAGCTCCTGGAGAGTTAGTAATAGCCAACATTTTGAAAACCATGTGTCTAAAAATGTCTGGACTTAAAGTTACAGAACCTGGGGTATTTAGCATTGGAAAGTCAGTCCATCCATGTTATCTGGCTGCCAAACAGAGTAGGAAAACATCATATCATATACTCTGGCACATCCTTCACAGAGTATCAGAGAACAAAGAATTAGATCAGCTCTGATAGAACTCTTGTTTTAAAATGGCAATCCTGTTCCAATAGTCGGAACGATTTGATATATTTGGAACATTGTGCTTCTGTGTAACTTCTTATCTTGAGATAGGATACAGAAAACTGGGGCTATGAATGGAGTTCAGTGGTAGAGTATTTGCATAAACAATCACGAAACCCTGGGTTCCATCCCGAATACTAGAAAAATGAATACAGAAAACTTCACTGTGTCTACCTGAATACAGCTACTTAAAAATACATCATCAGAATCTGGTGTAGTGGCACACACTTAGAGTCCCAGGCAAGATGACTCTGAACTCCTCTTGCTCTTTCCTCCATCTTCTAAGTGCTAGAATTTAGGCATGTGCCACCATGCTGGGCTCTGAAAATGAGTTTTGATATTTGACCACTCTCCTGCATAAGGCTCTCTGTTATGGACATTAAGAGTATACTATAAACACAAGATGAAAGGAACAGAAAGAGACTGAAATCTGTCTCATTATTTTGAGTGTTAAAGAATGAACACAATTCTTCGGCCAATGAGGTAGCTTAGTAGACAAAAACAGATACAGCACAAGTCTGACAACTTGTGTTCACTCCCTGGAATCCACATAAGAAGCTGGATGTTCCAACTATTGGATTAACACAATTACATCAAATATAGGGCTAATTTAATCTGGAATGCATCTGCAACCAAAGAACTCCTACATAGAGGTCTGAGGCTTGGACCAGATAGACACTTCCAAGCTTGGGGCCCAGCAAGTCTGGATAATGCAGCAGGAAAGAAACACCCAAAAGCTCGTGGGCTAGCCTGGGGTACATAGCATGACAGAAAGAAGAAAAATCCTACCTCTACAAGTGCAAGGAGAGAACTGATTCTTCAGAGTTGTTCTCTGCCATCCACATGTGTCATAGCATTTATGGGCACATACATACACACAAATAATTTAAAATGTAACATAATTACATCAAGGATAGGGCTAATTTAATTTGGAAGGCAAGTATTATATAGCTCAGGGACTGACAAAATGCAGCCCCCATAAGAGTGGTTTGGTAGTCCCAGTAATAAATACCCCCAAAGACATCGATACCCTAATCCTTTGCATATGTTAGATTATATGGCAAGGGATATGTATATGCAGATGGAATCAAGCATGCTAACGAGCTTATCTTAAAACTGAAGGGTCACGGTGGTGGTGGGGCACACCTTTAATCCCAGCACTCGGGGGGGGGGCAGAGGCAGAGGCAGAGAGGCAGAGAGGCAGAGAGGCAGAGAGGCAGAGAGGCAGAGAGGCAGAGAGGCAGAGAGGCAGAGAGGCAGAGAGGCAGAGAGGCAGAGAGGCAGAGAGGCAGAGAGGCAGAGAGGCAGAGAGGCAGAGAGGCAGAGAGCAGAGGCAGAGACAGAGGCAGAGACAGGGAGGGGGGCAGAGAGAGGCAGGTGCATCTCTGTGATTTCAAGGCCAGCCTAGTTTACAGAGCAAGTTCCAGGACAGGCTCCAAAGCTACACCGAGAAACGCTGTTTCCAACCCACACTTACCCCCCAAAACCCAGAAAGATCACACTTGACTATTTAAATTTGTTCCATGTGATCACAGCTGACCTTCAAATTGGAAGAGGAAGACTATAAGAGTAGAAAGAGATGTGATGAGTAAAGTAAATCAGAGAGAGCCTCTGTTTCGGAAGGTCTCAAGATCCCAGGGCTGAGGGGTATATAGAAAACTGAAAGGGGACTGGCACTTAGCTTGATAGAGTGCTTGCCCAATATGCATGAAGCCTTGAGTTTGGTCCCCACCAGTAGGTAAAACCAGATATGGTGACACACACCTGTCATCCTAGTATTTGGGAAGTGGAGAAAAGAGGATCAAAAGTCCAAAGACATCATCAGCCCTGTTCACCTATGCAAACTTGTAGTGTATAGACATGTAAGGCACAGCAGTAACAGGGATAACATGTGGCTGGCAATGCCTAAAATATTTACGATCTGGCTCTTTACAGAAAGTTTCCCAACTCCTGGTCTTGTGACTGTTTATCCCCACAAGATCACATTCTTTGGCCTGCCTTTCCTCACCAAGGAACTGCAATCCTCCTGTGACTAGCAGTCCAGGGGAGCACAGAAAACACCATGGCAACATTTCTTCCAAAGCCAGTTCTGCTTCTACTTAGAAAGAAGACATCCCCACTGCAATCTGTAGTAAAGGTCTCTAATGGGTTGCATGGATCAGCTCAAGGACAAAAGATCCTCTGACAAGAAGACTGAAACAATGCTGAATGGCTGGGGTAATTTAAAAGATGGCTGACCATTTTTTAAAGACTCTATTGTGGCATAGGATCTAAGTCTCTTTCCTAGACCTTCCCTCGACCTAACAGGGTTTTGACCAATACAATATTACAGAAGTGATGGCATGCCAGCTTCTAAGGCTAGGACTTTATAGACTGGTACTTAACTACTTCCTGTGTTTTGAAACTTAACCTCTTGGAACATGGCTTCTGGGCTAGAAGCGAACTCAAGCAGCCCCATGGAGTGGTTCTTAGCCAAACATCCAGGCAACAGCCAGCCAAACACAGCAGCAAGGCCTCATTACCCACCCTAGGTGCCACCAGTAGGGACAGAAACAAACCTACCTTGCTCTGACCTGCACAAATTTCACGTCTGGGAGCCAAATAAACAGATTGCTTTAAGTCATTGAGTTCTGGGTGATCTGTTCAATGGCAGTAACCAGAATACTGGGTCCCATGGTTCAGGTAAGGACCCTATAGCAAGAAATTAACCAGGATAAAATACTACAAGAGACCTGGGATACCATTATGAACAGTGTCCTCCAGGTCATGGAGGGTTCTCTGGGGTCAGAAGAGAAGCTGGGTTACACTTCTCCCTGCAAAATGGAAACAATGTGGAGATGAGAAGGTGAAAGTGGAAGTGTGCTTGTCTCATTATGTAGCATTTAAGAAAACTCGGAACTGAGGTGCTGAGGCCCAGGACACAGCATCCGGACTTCTGCTCCTCACTCAGCAAGAGGCACTGAGGAAACAGTACCTTATATAAATTGAATCCATTTTCTCTTGCTTTTGCCCTTTGTTTTCTCATCTCTACAGCTAAACAGGAACACTCACTTGGAAGACTGTGTGTAAAAATCAACCTCGGTCACTGTGTAGACCATGAGAAAGAACAGTTAGCACATTAACCTTCTAAAATCTTTTTTTTTTTTTTTTGGTTTTTTGAGTCAGGGTTTCTCCTTGGCTTTGGAGGCTGTCCTGGAACTAGCTCTTGTAGACCAAGCTGGTGTCGAACTCACAGAGACCCCCCTGCCTCTGCCTCCCGAGTGCTGGGATTAAAGGCGTGCGCCACCAACGCCTGGTTCCTTCTAAATTCTTATAGAGGACAGAAACATAAAATGTAGCTAGGTATTGTATATGTCTGCAATCCCAGCACTTGGGAGGTGAAGGCAGGAGGACCATGAATTCAAGGCTGGACTTACCAACACAGTGAGCTCTGGACCAGGCTAGGCTACATGAGACCTTGACACAAAGAGAGCAAAAAGCAAAAAAAAAAAAAAAAAAAAAAAAAAAAAAAAAAAAAAAAAAAAAACAAAAAAACAACAACAACAACAACAAAACAACCACAACAAATAAAAGAAAAACCCAGCCCAACTAACAAAACACAAGAAACATAACACAGAGCTGAGGAGTCTTGGACACCTTATGATTTCTAATGGTCAAACCTGGTTAAAAGAGAGCCAAACTAAATAAAAACAAGTCTGCTTTCTATTTCAAATAAATGTATGAACAATTGCATTTGAACATCCCAGTGAGTTTCACCCAACAGCCCATATAGGACTTGTAGCAGAAATCCAATACTAACCCAGCAAGGCACTCATCTGGAGTAGCCGTGCTCACCAGCAAAGAATCGTGCTGCACTGAGATAACAAGGAAGAGTAGCCTTACTTACTTTCAAAACCTACTCCCTCCGTCCAGAAATGTCTCCTTTATTTACATGACAACACCTTCTGAACAAAGACGCTTATTCTACTAGTGTTCTCAGAGCTGCTGAAACTTGGCCAGGACTGACAAAATCCTGCAATATTCAAACCTAGCTCCATTCTTCTCCAAAGTCCCAGAAACCTCCATATATTAAACTCTACAAAGGGAGCTGTGGATGTAGCTCAGTAGTTGAGTCTTCCTGCCTAGCATGCACAAGGACCTGGGATCCATCCTCAATACTGAGAACAAACAAACAAAGGCAAAGTGAACTTTATATGTTTAACTAAGCTGATCTCAATCCCCCTATGCAGCCAAGGATGCTTTTGAATCCCTGCTTCTCTTGATTCTTCCAAGCAAGTGCTGGGATTGTAGTGTATGCTACAACATCCTGTTTTGATATAGTACAAGGGACCAAATCCAGGGCTTCATGCATGTTTGGCAAGCAACTCTGCCAACTGAGCTATATCCCCAACCCCAAAGGAACATTCTTAGCCTGAGTTGTCTACACAGTAATAACATCTGCCATCTGCTCCTCCTATTATCATCCAAGGTGTGTAACTGGAGTTTACCACCTAGAAAAGGTCACATGTGAAGCACACAGCCTTTAGAAAAAGATTATCTTTGCCATCGATATTAGCCTGACTCTTAGCTGGGTCTGGTCCCACAGATACCTGTAATTCTAATACTTGGGAGTAGGGGCAGGGGTCTGAGAGTGTGAGGCCTGCCGGAGGCTACACATGAATTCACCACGCTCCTAGATACTATAGACAAACCCAGTCTCAGAAAACCAAAATAAAACAACAACAAAAAATGTCCCCAACTTCACAAAATCTCGATTGACTTAAAGTCGTCAAGATTTTCTTTCTTCTGGAAACATCAAAGTTTTAGATTTGACATTTCTGTCTATGATCCATTTAATTAATTTTTTGTAAATATGGAGAATGGTGTGTGTGTATTTTTTTTTCTGTAAACTTTTGGAACCCTAACCTTGCCAAACATAAAATGTAGAATTGTTATCTTTCACTGTGCACTGCATAGTTGGTTACCTGGGTTAAACAGAATGAGGAAAAGAAATTGGTCTCCCTTGGGACAAGGAGTACCCCAGTCCACTTTTGGAGGAGGGCTACTGCCTGCCTGGTTGCACTGAATACTGGTGACCACCTCTTGCTCACGTGTGAAATGGGTGGAATTTTTCCCAAACTAGGGTCTGGCGGCTGGCTGTAAGCAGTTGAGCTCCATAAACACAAAGAAGCTATTAGTTCGCGACATTTGATGCAGTAAAGTTAAAGGAAGCCCAGGGGCGCCCAACACGTGCGTCCTGCGTTCACAGGCTCTTTCCAACTCTCACACAAACCCACCCTTCTGGATAAGGCAGTGCTCAACACACAGGCTGCTCGGGAAAGTCACCTGAGCAGCTGGCAGCACTCTGATCGCCGGCGGCTGGAAGTTCGAAAGTTCCCCAGGTAAACCCAGTGCCCCGGACCTGTGCAGAAGTTTTTCGACCAAGCTCAAGTCTGGGGCTTCGCCTGACAGAGTCGGAAACTGGGGCGGGCGGATCCACAGATGTCTCCCTGCCCCCACCATTCCCGGCACCGATGTGATGCCCACAGGCTGCGCCCACTCTTTCAGACACGCTGTGACTGCACCGATGTCGCCCTTCCGGACTGAGTACACCAGGCGCAAAAGAGGGGCTTGGGGTGCCTAGGGGGTCGACAGGTCGCCGAAGTCAGGGTGCTGGAGGCCGGGCCACCAGAGGGACAACAGCGCGCAGAGACTCCAGGGTGACGGGAGGGGGGGGGGGTCCCTTGGTGGGGGATTTTTCCCCGGGGGGCCGCCGCGGGGGGCCGGGGGCGCCCCGCGGCGGCGGCGGCGCCGCGCCGCCGCGTTGCTGCTGTCCCGCCCCGGAAGGGTGAGCGCAGCGCCCTCGGAGGTGGCCCGGGCATGCGATGGCTCCTGCCTCAGCCCCGATGTGACTCCCACCTGGTCTCCTGGTTGCTGAACTTCTTGGTGACCACCTTGCCCAGCTCCAGGCCCAGGCGATCGGCCACGCGCTGCGACAGGTCCTGGTGAGAGCTGCCGCTGAAGAGCACGATGTTGGGCATGGTGATGTGCGGGGATTGAGGGGCACGCTGCAAAAGAGAAAGCGACAGCGACGCAGACTGCTGCTACTGCTGCTACTGCCTCTGGCGCTGGCGCTGCTGTTGCTGCGGGGGGGGCCC